ACCCCCCCCCCTCCCAAAAAGCAACCAAAAAACCCCAAAAACTAAAACACCCGACCACAAAAAAAAGAAAAGATGAAACAGGCCAAAATACAAGGGAAAACCCCTATAACAACCAAACAATCAAGGAAGGAATTTAAGAAGAAAAAAATAGGGGCGGGGGTTAAAGAAAGAATGTTTGTTTACCTCTTCACTAAATAGGTAAATAATATGCAGCCCCATTTAATATTATAATGATAATTATGGCTCTGATTTCAGACTTTCAGAAGTGATTTTTATATGAGGCCTAAGAGATGTTTGTCAAAAGAACCGAGCCTTGGCCTATTGTGATTAGAAGGCTTTCGTTTCGTCCTGGGTCCTTATACTCTGAAAGAAATTAGAGAACGTTCGTAGTTGGTATTATAATAAATATTATTATTAGCCCAGAAATCAATTTTCCGTGGCTTGATAATAATAGAATCTAGATTTAGATCATAAGACTAAGTCGAGATCCAGTCAAACAGGTGCTTGTCACCACAATTTGGTTTGCCCGAATACAACCTGGCAATACAATGCATGACAATGCCGTCACACATGAAAGTCATAATAAACATCGGCTGTCTTGTGTTGGCTGGCAGGCCGTGCGAACTATCAATCATGATGATTCAATGGTAAGTGTATCCATAGTAAACACCGCCGCTTTCACGCGCAGTTTGAATAGGCCATGGCATTGCTGTCTTTGGAGATTCTATAATAGTGGTTTGTGCTGATTAGAATGTTTAGATGCCTTGAAAACAGTCAGCTACTGTGTCTGCGTCGAGACAGCGGAGAAAGTCGGTGAGAAAACCTGCCTTATTATTTCTGGCCTTGTTGTAGTGTGTAGAGTGTAGATCTTCTCTAGAATTTCTAAAATCTAGATCTAAATATAGTAGGCTAGTGTGGGCTTTTGTAGATCTACTAGAGAAGAACCGCTTGATTATAAATCAAGATTGGAGTTTCTGATCAAGAAAGATAAGATTTATAACCATGCTGAAGGGAAGAGTGTGTGCCACCTGTGACCCTGTTGTGCAGAAAGCATGATGATAACCGTACGATCGTTCACTTCCACACAGCAGACCACGCGCAGGGAAAGGAATGTTAGGCCATTGACAGTGACAGTGTTGTCATTCATCCATAATTATTTTGAATTGAGGTCTGCTGTGATGCATCATCCTGTCTTCCTCCCTCTAGAAAGATATTCAGGTAAATTAGCCCTAGATCAGTAGTAAGGGCTTTACATGGTGACAGCTGGAGATTTTTTTCTGGCTGGATCTTGAAGATTGATAAGAAGCCAAATATGAATTTTTAAAAACTTTAAAATGGATCAATTAGAATCTAGTGTAGATATAGATTCTAGATCTAGATCTAGATTTAGATATACTAAATCTAGATCTAGATATACTAAAGGCTGGCTCTCGTTCGGGAAAATAAAACTCTTCTATTTCTCCGAACGGTTTTCGTTCTCGAGATTTGTATTAATTATTCATAATATATAAGCGAATGGAGTGGCCCTGTGTGTGTGTGTGTGTGTGTGTGTGTGTGTGTGTGTGTGTGTGCGAGTGTGTGTGTGTGTGTGTGTTTGTGTGTGTGTGTGTGTGTGTATGGTGTGAACGGATGGCCCGGGGGGGGGGGGGGGGGGTTGTTTGTATTACATGTTCTTGTCAAAGGATTTTAGTTTTTGCTGGGTGACTAAATGCAAAATAGGTTCATTACTGCCAAGGTCGAGCAGTTTTGTTTTCTCGCAGTACCTTTTGAAGGTGTTTTCAAATGAAAGAACCAAGTATTGTCAGGGAACGTTGCCCCAAGCACTTTTGTAACTGAAATATCTGAATATTCAGACATTTAAAAATCTCGACATCTAGAATCTAGCTCTAGAAATTGAATTTGATGCCAAAAAATATTCTTCCTAGATCTAGATCTAGATCTAGTCCTCATAGAATGGCAGAATGAAAGGATGATGCCCAAATCTCGCAAATAACCCCAAAAATCTCGAGATCAGAAACAGTTTGGAGAAATAGAGTGCAACTTTATTTTCCAGAACATTCGGAGAAATAGTCACTTCGTATACTAAATCTAGAATCTAGATCTAGATCTAGCTAGATCTAGCTAGATCTATCAAGAATCTGTATTAAAACATATTTTTAAAGTAAAATCTAGATCTAGATCTAGATTTTTGAATGCATGATGAGACTATATGAATCAAATGATAGAGAATATAATTAATCTAGGCTATTTTTAGATTATTTGATCTTAGATCTAGATCTAGATAGACTCTAGATCTAGATCTAGATTCTAGATAATAGTAGATCTATTAATAAATTAAATTTGAAATGATTAAAAGGGAGGACTTCCGTAACGAGCGACCACTCTATACAATTTTAATTTAAAGGCCTCTAGATTCTATAATATAATAATATAATATTATACTTCATGATGGTAGACGAATTTATAAAACTTTAGCAGTGCATTTCACTAGGAGGGTAAAAAAATTGTAACAAAGATGATTTTGGTGTCATGTGAACCAGAACACGTTACATGAAGCTGCAGCGAGTACCTAGTGTAATGTTAGTATACACACACGACTGTAAACTCGAGAGACGAACACACACGACAGCAAGCATTCTAATAATGAGCCCGGGTATAGTGTTTGACTTTTTATGTTGATCATCGAAGTGAGTAACATTATCCAAAAGCCCATGGCATACGGGGCACTTACGTCCCGTGATTAAAAAAGAGTAAGGTACAATACGGTGACTACCGTGACATCTCCCCCTTGTAATATTGAAAAAAAAAAGAAAACCCCAAAATGGATTATTAAAGATTATCGGTTTCGAGTCTCTCAAAGAGGAATGTTCTAACGTTAACAAAATTCACACACAGAGTTCAATTGTCTTTGAAGATTCGGGGCTTGCACTTGAGAACTTGGTAACACATTTCAATAAAGTTCTTTGGTATTTCATAATTTCCACATTTCAAATTGTCTTTGTCACATTCATAGAACTGCATAGCATCCAGATAACGAAACTAAAGAAAATAAATTACCTCGAACAGGTAAGTCTACACAACTGTTGGGTAATCAGCAAAGAATAAACAAAAAGTAAAATTTGTCATCGAAAGGATACGACTGGGTCGCAAGAACATCAGTCCGGATAACGAGCGGGTCTCCTGTCCACTCGTCCACTTCAGGTAGTTATTGGAGCAGGACTGGCTGGAGCGGCAGCTGGCTGAGGTGATGGTGTGACATCAGGCTCCACCGGCTGGACAGCTGGTGGCGGAGGTAAGGGAACGGACATCGGAGTAGGCTCTGGGGTGGCAACAGGTAAAGAAGGCATGGAAGGAAGGTCGACGTAGGGCTTCAGATGTTTGCGGTTCCGGCGGTAAGCCCTAGCCCCAGACTGTATGATGTAAGACCTCGGTGCACACCGTTCTTTGACAACTGCAGGGCCACGCCACTCCTTGTCGTTCTCCAGCTTCTGCAGGACGAGCTGACCAGGATTCAGCTCCGGGAGGTTCTGGGCTCCGTGACGTCTGTCAAAAGCTTGTTTGTACTTACGCTTCGACTCAGCGTCTCTGGCTGCAATCTTCGCCCTGTCGTAGACCTGCTGGTTCAGGTTTGACGGTAGAGTTGGCAGGGTCGTCCTCAGGCGTCGCCCAAGAGCAAGTTCCGCTGGGCTCGCCCCCGTTGGTGACACCGGTGTAGACCTGTAGATCAGGAGTGCGAGAAATGGGTCGTCCTGACTCAAGGCTTTCTTCGCTTCCTCGACTGCTCTCTCCTACCCGACGTTGCTCTGGGGGAAATGAGGACTGCTGGTGGTGTGTTTAAATCCCCAGCCCTTGGGGAACTTGTGGAAACGGTCTGACACAAACTGGGCATGGGGACCGTTGTCAGTGACCAGTAGTTCTGGAATGCCAAACCGAGCGAAGATGTTTTTCAGTTTGTACACAACAGTCTCTGAGGTGGTGTCTGGCATGTAGGCCACCTCCAAGTACCGTGAGAAGTAGTCCACGAGTACCAGGTAGTCATGTCCCTTGTAGTTGCATAGGTCAGCACCAACCATCTGGAACGGACGCTCAGGTAGAGCTGTCGGGGTTAGAGGTTCGCTTGGTTGTGCTGGACGTTTCCGCTGGCAATGGTCGCATCTTGAGACGACTTCCCGTATCTCGGAGCTGAGACCAGGCCACCAAATGGAAGATTTGGCCCGTTCTCGACACTTCGACACTCCAAGGTGACCGTCGTGGATCCTGCTGAGCATCTCACCTCGCATTGCCTTTGGGATTACGATGCGGTTACCTCTGACGAGTAGTCCATGGACTTCACTCAGTTCACTGGAAACTGCGTAGAGGTCGCGAGCTTCGGACCTGACGTTTTGTATGAATTTCGGCCAACCGCTTCTGGTGTACTGTATCGCAGCGCTGATCGCTGGATCCTGTTGAGACTTGTTTTTGATTTCGTCAAGTTTACTATCCGTAGCATCCCATGACATCTGGATTTTAGCGACATGAACCTCGATTTCTTCACCAAATTCTTCAGGCTCGGTGCTCACTACTGGACTTCGGGACAAGGAGTCTGCGACAGTCATGTTTTTCCCTTGGGTGTATACTGCCTTTCCGCTGTAGCGCATCATCCTCATCAGCATTCGTTGGCAGCGGACAGGTGCATCATTCAGTTCTTTAGAGTTGATCAGAGGCACAATGGGCTTGTGGTCGGTGAGCAGTGTGAATGACGGCAGACCGATGAGGTAGCGATTGAACTTTTCGCACGCCCAGGTGGCCGCCAACAGTTCCTTTTCAATCTGAGCGTAGTTCTTCTCCGCCCTAGATAAAGTTCTGGAACAGTAGGCCACTGGCTGAAGATCACCCCTGTCCTCCTGGAGGAGAACTCCCCCCAGTCCGTAGCTGCTTGCATCAGCGCTTACAACGACAGGCTTCCTCATGTCGAAGAATGCGAGTGTTGGAGCTGACGACAGCAATTTCTTGACTTCAGTGAAGGTAGATGACTGCGCTGGAGTCCACGCCCACTCAGCATCGTGATTCAGAAGATCGGTGAGCGGCTTCATGACTGTTGACAAATTTGGCACAAACCTGCCCATGGCGAGCACTCATCGTAAGTCTGTAATTTTCTCTGGCTCTGGCATCTCAATGATGGCGCTGACCTTGCATGGATCTGGCCTTACACCCTTCCCGCTGATGATGTGGCCAAGAAAATCGATTTCATCCTTGTCAAACTTGCTCTTGGATTTGTTCAACCTGACCCCACGCTCCTTTAGCCGCTGGAAGACTTTCTTCTTCAGCTTATCATGTTTCTCGTGACCATCCGTGTGCAGGAGGATATCGTCCATAAAGCACTCTACACCGTCTATGCCCGCTAGAATGTCTTGCATCGTACGCTGAAATATCTCAGGCACAGAGTTGATTCCAAAGCAGAGACGTCTGTAGAAGTACCGACGGAACGGGGTAATGAAAGTGGTCAGCTTCGCGGAGTCGTCGTCCAGTGCCAACTGCCAAAAGGATGAAGTTGCATCAAGCTTGCTGAACTTGTTTGATCCGCTGAGTTTGTACAAGATGTCATCAATGGTGGGCAGCATGAATCGTTCACGCTTCACCAATAGGTTGAGCTTTTTCAGATCTGTGCAGATTCTAACGCTTACAGACCTTTTTCTGACCGGGACCATGGGCGCGCACCAGTCAGTTGGAGCACTGATCTTCTCAATGACACCTGCGGCCTCCATGCGGTCTAGTTCAGCCTTGACTTCGTTCATGAGTGGAATGGGAATCCGACGTGCGACGTTAACAGAGTATGGCTGTGCATCTTCTTTCAAGATGATTTTCACTGGCTCGCAGCGTATAGGTTTAGGTCTCACATCGCCGAACACGAGGTTGGCAGAGTCTATTCTGTCTCTAGAGATCAGTCCCAGATGAACTGCGGCGTCGCGACTGAGAAGACAGTCAGTGTCATCGTCAAGGACGAAAACACGGAACGCAAAGTTGCGGTTGTTATGCTGCGTAGTTGCGATAAATTCTCCCACGCTCCTTATGATTCCACCAGGACTGCGAAGAACTGCAGACGTTGTTTTCATCTTTGGACGAGGACTGAGACGGTCGTAGACGGCCTTTGACATGATGGAAACATCGGCCCCTGTGTGTATCTTGAAGGATGTAGCTCTCCTTCCAAGGTTCAGTGTAACGCGCCATGGTGGCTCGCTAACTTCGCCGAAGTTTACATCGGTAACGACATTACTGTCCGAGTCTCTGTCAACAGCACCTAAAAAGAACGAAGGAGTTTCCGATTCGGTGATTTGGTTGACATTGCGGCTGCTGCTGTGACAGACAGTTGCGAAATGATTGCGCTTGCCGCATTTCCTGCAAGTTTTCCCACGCGCTGGGCAATTGTTTTGGACATGACCTCTTCCACAGTTACTGCAGTTAGAGAAAGTTGACGGTGATGCATGGCTGCCTCTGTGTTGTGAGTGTGTACCTGTTCTTCGGCCGCCTCTACCCCTGGGGTGAGCAGGCGACGAATATCCCCTCTGGCCGTAGCGCACTGTATCTACTGTGACTGCTGCACCTAGCTGACGTTGGCTACTGACCTGACCCTTTACGAGCTCGAAATGGCGTGCTGTTTCAATGGCTGATTTCAAAGTAAGAGTTGCCTCGAGTTGTAAGCGCTGTGACAGTTCATTGTCCAGTACTCCTAGGACGAGTCTATCCCTTAAGGTTTCATCTCGGTCCTTAAAGGCTGCATGTTCTGAAAGCTTGCACAGGGCTCTAACATATTCTTCTATCGTCTCCCCACTGTTTTGTGCTCGTGCATGGAACTTTGCTCTTTCGTGGATAAGATTCCACTTGGGGACAAAGTGAGCGTCGAAATTCTCTAAGACTGTCAAAGTTGTCCGTAGGATCGTTATCTTCGACTGGAGCAGGGAACGTGAACGTGTTAAATATCTGTTCAGCTTGGCGTCCCATCAGCGTAAATTAATTAACTTACTTGAATTGCTCCGGTCTCTGCGCTCAGTTTGGTGGCTGTGCGGTATCGTAGTATACGCTGTCGCCACTCGGGCCACTCGTGAGGTTTGGAAAACTCAAACGGTTCAGGAGGCTTGAAATGAGGCATTCTGACACTTGTTACACGTTATCCACTGACTTCTGACACTATGTAATGTTAGTATACACACACAACTGTAAACTCGAGAGACGAACACACACGACAGCAAGCATTCTAATAATGAGCCCGGGTATAGTGTCTGACTTTTTATGTTGATCCCCGAAGTGAGTAACATTAACCAAAAGCCCATGGCATACGGGGCGCTTACGTCCCGTGATTAAAAAAGAGTAAGGTACAATACGATGACTACCGTGACACCTAGCACATGTATGGGATTGGCCCCAATATAGATCTCTGTGAGAATTTCCGCCATCTATTTTTTTCGTCTTGCGGGGCTTCCCTCGCCAGCCAGTTGAATAAGCCTAGATCTCTCCGTCGCGGGCCCGCTTTGCGTTCGCGCGTGTATGTGTATGTGTGTGTGTGTGTACAACTTTGAGAAGTGAGAAGGTAAATTTATGGAATGAGATTTGCTGAGATCGTTTATAATCGATTTCTCTCTCTCTCTCTCTCTCTCTCTCTCTCTCTCTCTCTCTCTCTATATATATATATATATATATATTACACACAATTTTATCTGTCGAACCATATAGATTTTATTTTTGTTACAATTTTTTAAATGTCTTCCCTTTCTTCCACTAAGGAGGCTTCCTGTGTGTGTGTGGTGACTGTGCATTGTGTGTGTAGCATGCTATCATTATAATTTAAATTTTACCACAGTGCTGCTGATGAAAATTTAGACTATTGTATAGATCTAGAACTGGTAGATTGGGTAAACTTTATGCTATTTCACTTTGGTCTGTCCGCTTAAAAAAACCTCTTGCTCATCTTTGCACACATTATTAACAATAGTTTTTATCTGGGCCCTTTATTAAACACAGCCCTTTGAATCACAGGATCACTACAACAGTAAATGATTTACAGTTGCCTAGCCTACAAACTGCTTATTTTCAGTCATCAACACCACCCTGCTACCTCATTTCAGTGTGTAAAAAGCTTACGTTACCTTCCGAGACTGTCTAGACATCTCCTCACAAGTCTCGCAAAGTGTTCTCCCATTTGCTGGACAGTGTTTGATAGGTTTACATAAAGTGTGGTGTACCCCTGGGGCGATGCCACTGACTGAAGTGTCTTTAGACCATTCCCAAAGGGGGGGACATTTCTCATTCTAATGCACAGTAGAATTGTAAATGGGCTTTTATCCAACAATATACAATGTCATGCTCATAGCTGTTCCTGAATTACAACCGGGAACTGCTGCATTTTCTTTCCTAATCCTTACTATCGTCATTTTCCTCTACTTCTTTTGTACGTTTGTCACACTCTTGTAACCTGCTATTTCCGGGGTGCCTTGATAGCCGAAGCAGACTTTGTGCTGTTAAAGCAAGGGAGGTGAGCAGAGTAAGTCTGTTTCCCTGTAAGGGCTTCTCTGTTGACATCCACCCATTGACGCTCAATGACCTTAATGCAGTTGTGAAGGCTGTAATACCTCTACTAAAGCAAAAACAACGAAGTGTGGTGACGATAAAAATAGGGCAACTTTTTTGTAGAGATTATGCTGTAAGCTCTGCATTTGTGAGGCAATATATGGTGAAATCAATTGCTCGTCAAAATAATGAAACTGAAGACACTGATCTGACATTTTTCTGCCAGTTTGGAAATTTTCTTTGAATTTTTGTTTTTTGGCGTATCACCACTGTTGCCCAATTAAGAACACATTCTGGGTGGATTTTACGAAAAAATGTTGATTAAAGTATTTAAGGCACAAAAAATGGAAGTTTTCAGTTTCCACAGGACCTACTATCAAGCTATGGAAACAACCAAACTTTTGCGGCCTTTTTATCGCTAATTCTATCTTTGGAAACAGGCAACGTCTTCAATCTAAAATATCTCGACTTCTATTCGAGGTAGATGGGCATTTTTTCACCAATAGCAAGACAGCTGAACAAACTTATTTTAAAAATAGATGATACCAATTACTCCACTTGTCCAAAAATTGACGAGCGTCTGATTCCTCCACTTCATAACACATTTTGACCTGCTTTAGGCTAACATTTTTAAGCTTTCTGCTTTTATGTTGTTTCCCAAACCGTTGTTGCACTCAACCATGCAAAGGCCACTGTTGACGTGAGGCATGAGGGGGTTTGGCCCCATTCTACTGGAACCGCGCCTCTTCAAATCCATAACACAACTTCTGCTCCCAAAATTTCCCCCAACTTTCTCCGTAGGGTGAGATATGATATTATAAATATATATATATATATATATTTTATGTCTATCTATCTATCTGATATGACTGATGGTTTTGTCAACCTTGTCTTGAAACCAGAACAGGCTGATCACTAACTGAACAAATGCTTTTAATTAAGAAGAAAAGTTTTTCAGTTCAACCCAATTTTGGTTGAAATTTTATGAACTTGATATATGTCTTGAATGGATTGTTTGACTGCAATCTGTTTTCAGAAATTTGTAATTGAATCTGTTGTTAGTTGTGTTAGTTGCAGTTGGGTGATTTAGGGGGGGAAATTGAAATGTTGACTTCAGATGAAAACGTAATAAAAATAAAGTTTTTAAAGCATTCAGTTTTTTTCTCCAACTCATGCAACAGCTGAAAGGTTAAATGTTCTTCATTTCATTACAAGCTTGTTTATTTGTTCTCTTTGGTGTTTGGGCTTGCTGGGAAGTCGTGTAGTTTGTTTTCTGGTTAAAGTTAATAAAACCCTGGCCCAGCAACAATTTTGGCTCTGGTTGCATTAAATTTTCTCAATTATGTGAATGTTGTTCAAGCTGTGTACAAGGTATGCATCACATAACGCATTTGGATAATGTCTTAGAATTTGATTTATGGTGCAGCAATCTGAAGTGTTTGTCCGTGGAGTGCTAAAAATGAACACGCATCGCAGTCAAGATATCTAGTTAAAATTAACTATTAAAAAAAAAAATTTGGTATGTAGTGTTTGGTTCTCTATTTGTAATATGTAGTGACGGCAAGTATAAATATATGTCTTGGACATGACTTTTATAGTTTCCTTATGATGCCTTATCAGCAGTTTTATTATTCTCAACTGGGGCTTTGTCATTGTACATTAAGAGTGATTTTTTGTCCTTTGTGTGCCTTTTTGTCCTACTATCAACTGTTTTTATCAGCACTGAGATTTCGGATCAAAATCCAATAAGAAATTAAAGTAAAGGGCTTTTCTTTGTAGTCACTGATATGTCTGCTGGGGAATATTTTAAGCAAATTTTATTCACCGTGTAGGCTGCCTGAAATTTGTTAAATATTAACTTTGGACATATTGACAAATCTTTGTGTTCATTTCCTCTTATCTTCTGAAACCTTGTCACGGTATATTTGGGCCAGATAATTTCCTTATCATTGACCTGTCAATGTAAACTTATATCAAACTTTTATGTTGAGGTTCTTTAATATTTCTCTGATAAGGAAAAGTATTCTTTCGGAAAGATCTGAGTTGTTGTATCAAATTTGTTAGCAAAATCTTTAATCGTTACTACTGCTTTTTAAAGAAATATTTGGTCACAAAATGGGCTGCATCCAAAGATCATGTGCTGTTTTAATTCATTTTTTTCTTCTACAGCATTGTGATGGTGAATCAAAGAAACATGTTTTCATGCTTTTTTTGAGTTTTTGGACATAACATGTTTTGTCAGGGAACCGTTCAAGGACTGCTATGGAAAGAAAAGACATTTTGTGTGTTCCTGGAGAGTAGTGTGTGTTGGAGTACTGAAGAATGGATAGAAAATGCATGGTATAAAGATGTGGTCAATTTTTCATTCCTCAGGTAGTGCAGAATCTGAGCTAGAGGCACTGCAGTCTGGCTGGTTGTTTGTAACATCTTGGCCGTCATGTTAACCTGATGGTGCCTGGAAACATGATATTACGACGACTTAAGTTCATCAAAAAGCGAACTCTGGCGGCTTACATCCTGTCGCTGAGCTCTGCCGGTTTTTTCCTGTGGGTCTTTGTATTTGTCTCTTCAAGCAACTCTGCACCCGTAAGTAACAAAAATTCTTTTTTATATGTGTGGTTACTATGTTTTAGAGATTGATTATTTTTACCATTTTCTCAGAGGGTGGGGGAGGGGGGTATGGAGCATACCTTTTGCAGAGAACGGCCATATGTACATGGTTATGAATTTATTTATTTTTGGGTGAAAAAAAGTTAAAAATTTTTTTGGGTGAAAATACTAGATCTAGCCTGTTATTGTCAATTAAAGCAGCCTGGGGAAAAATTTCTTGTGACGATGGTACAATTGCTTACTTCTCTTATCTTGTCTTCTATATACAGCAGTTTGTAATGTTTTGAGAGAAGTGCATGGTAAAGTCTGCTGTTGCTATATCAGAGCTAGTTTCACATCTGTGTTTTTGGGGGTTTATATATGGCTTTAGAACGAGTAACAGGAGCATTGTTTTCATCTGCCAAGAAAGGAATATGATGCAAATACAGGTAAGATTACACTCCTTTTTTCATTTCCTCTTGTGGGTATGTATGTCATGTTGTCTTCGAGTTCTCCCATAGAATAGCAAAAATATAGGCTAGGATAACCCCCTCTTTGCGGTATACAAAAACTAATCTCAATTTATGCCCTGAATATAAGCGAAATTTCTTCAAGATTTCTTGTTATCTAATATCATTATCTAAACAGGACATGAATAGGGCTTGGTCTTCAGTTTCACCATCTTTTTAAAAATCACTCATTTAAACTTTCATTCCTTTCTATATTTTCACACTACAAACAAATTTTAACCAGTTTCAGTTTTTAGTTTACGAACCCTGCTTAAGCTACTAAATTACCTTCACTTCTTTAGAAATCGATTATAATGGGAAAAGTACAACTGTCGCTGTGGGTGGTTGGCAGGTGCTCCTGTGTGGTTTGTTCCTCCTTTCTATCATATCTTCCTTGCATCTCCTCCTTTTCTTTGTATTTTACTCTTTAGTAGTTACCTTTAAAATCATCCACACTTATATCACCTGTTTGTGTTGCAAGCTCTGTAAGACTCTTACAAAAACTTAACTGTCTCTGACCGGATATGAATGCTTGAAAAGAAATCATCGTCAAGCTTACACATCTACAAGGTTGGGTTTTTTTCCAGGAGCGGTGCCACTGACTGAAGTGTCTTTAGGCCATTCCCAAAGGGGGGACTTTTCTTGTTCTTATGCTCAGTAGAATTGTAAATAGGCTGATTCAACAATGTCATGCTCATAACTGTGCCTTAACTACAACAGGGAACCGCTGCTTTTTCTTTCCTAATCCTTACTGTCATCATTTAAATTTTTTCTCTACTTCTTTTGTATGTTTGTTACACTCTTGTGACCCGCTATTTCAGGGGTGCCTTGAAAGTTGAAACAGACTTTGTGCTGTTGAAGCTAGAGAGGTTGACAGAGTAAGTCCGATTCCCTATAAAGACTTCTCTATTGACATCCACCCCTTGGCGCTCATATGACCTTATGCAGTTGCGAGCACCGTAAAATCTCTACTGAAACAAACAATCAATTCTCTTCTTATGATGCTTGTTTCAGGGTGAAAGTGATGGCCACTTGGTGTCTGGAGATAGGCGGGGGGTGGACCAGAGTGTGAATCCCGTCCCCAAGCCACTTCTGGCTGGTAAGTTAATTACTCACACTGTCAGCTCCCTCAAGAGTTGTTGGTGAATGGTGGGGACGTTTGGGAAGACTTGAAGACTCGCGCCCTACCTGTCCCTTCTCTTTTATCCTCACTCTCACTGTCTCTGTCTCACCTTTTTTCTCCCTTTATCACTATCTCACTTTCTTTCGTTTCTGCTTTCTGTCTCTCTCACTGTCTCTCCCTGTCTCTCCCTCTCTTTCTCCGTGAGTGTTTGGCGGGTGCTCTGGTGTGGTTTGGTTCTTCTTTCCTATCGAACATCTATCCTTCTTATCTCCCCTTCTTCTTTTTTATGTTTGTTACTCTCTTGTAACACCTCTTATCTTCTGAGCTCATATGACCTTATGCAGTTGCAAGCGCCGTAACACCTCTACAAAAGTTAAAAACCTCTCCTTCTCCCCCTTCTATTTCTCTCTCTCTCTCTCTCTCTCTCTCTCTCTCTCTCT